AGGGATCATCCAAACAGAAAGTCAAAGAAATAGTGGCCTTAAATGAACTACTACACCAAATGGACTTAATATAATAGAACATTCCATCTGAAAACAGAATAGACCTTCTTCTCAAGTGCACATGGAACATTCTCAAATATAGACCATATTTTGGGAAACAAGACAAACCTAAATAAATTTAAGACGACTGAAACCACATCAAGCATCTTTGCTGACCATAATTCTATGAAACTCTAGAAATCAACTACAAGAAAAAGGCTGGGAAAGTCACAAATACGTGGAGACTAAAGAATATTCTACTGAACAACCACTGGATCAATGAAGAAACCAAAGGAGACATGAAACAATACCCACAGACAAATGAAAATGAAAACACAACATACCAACTCTTATAGGATGCACAAAAGTGTTAGTAAGAGGGAAATTTATAGCAGTACAGGCCTACCTCAACAAATAAGAAAAATTTCAAATACATAATCTTAAACTACACCTAACAGAACTAGAAAGAAGAAACAAAGCCGAAAGTCAGCAGGAGGGAAATAACGAAAATTAGAGCAGAAATAAATGAACAGACTAAAAAAAAAACCCAAAAAAGATCAAAGAAACTAAGAGCTGATTCTTTGATAAACAAAATTGACAAACCCTTAGCCAGACTAAAAAGAGAGGGAGCTCAAATAAATAAAATTAAAAATGAAAGAGGAGAAATTACAATGGATACCACAGAATACAAAGGATTATAAGAGAATACTATGAAAAACTAAATGTCAACAAATTGGAGGGGCCAGCCCAGTGGTGCAGCGGTTAAGTTCCACTTTGGTGGCCCGGAGTTCACCGGTTCAGATCCTGGGTGCGGACATGACACCACTTGGCAAGCCATGCTGTGGTAGGCATCCCACGTATAAAGTAGAGGAAGATGGGCACAGATGTTAGCTCAGGGCCAGTGTTCCTCAGCAAAAAGAGGAGGATTGGCAGCAGATATTAGCTCAGGGCTAATCTTCCTCAAAAAAAAAAAACAAAAAAAAAACCAAAAAAAACAACCAAATTGGATAACCTAGAAGAAATGGACAAATTCTTAGACTCATACAACTTCCCAAAACTGAATCAAGAAGAAATAGAGAATCTGAATAGACAAATCACAAGTAAAGAGATTGAAAGAGCAATCAAAAATCTCCCTGGGCCGGCCCGGTGGCGTAGTGGTTAAGTTCGCACATTCCGCTTCTCAGCGGCCAAGGGTTCACCGGTTTGGATCCCAGGTGTGGATATGGCACCGCTGGGCACGCCATGCTGTGGTAGGCGCCCCACATATAAAGTAGAGGAAGATGGGCACCATGTTAGCTCAGGGTCAGGCTTCCTCAGCAAAAAAAGAGGACGACTGGCAGTAGTTAGCTCAGGGCTAATCTTCCTCAAAAAAAAAACCTCCCAAAAAACAAAAGCTTGGACCAAACAGCTTCTCTGGAGAACTCTACCACACATTCAAAGAAGATTTAATATCTATCTCTCTCAAACTATTCCAAAAACTTGACGAAGACAGAATGCTTCCAACTCGATGAGCCAGCAGTACCCTGATACTAAAGCCAGACAAGAACAAAACAAAGAAGGAAAATTACTGATCAATACCACTGATGAACATAGATACAAAAATCCTCAACAAAATATTGGCAAACCAAATACAGAAATATATTAGAAGGATCATAAGCCATGATCAAGTGAGATTTACCAGGGACACAGGGACATCTGTAAATCAATCTTCAACATCTGCAAATCAATCAATGTGATACAACACATTAACAAAATGAGTAATAAAAATCACATGGTCATCTCAACAGATGTAGAGAGAAAGCATATGACAAGACTCAACATCCATTTATGATAAAAACTCTCAATAAAATGGATATAAAAGGAAAGTACCTCAACATAATAAAGGCCATATGTGACAAACCCACAGCCGACATCATACTTAATGGTGAAAACCTGAAAGCCATCCCTCTGAGAACAGGAACAAGATAAGGCTTCCTACCCTCACCACACCTATTCAAGATAGTACTAGAGGTTTTGGCCAGAGCAATTAGGCAAGAAAAAGAAATAAAAAGTGTCCAAATTGGAAAGGAAGAAGTAAAACTCTCACTGTTTGTGGACAACATGATTCTGTATAAAGAAAACCCTAAAGAATCCACCAGACAACTACTAGAAATAATCAACAACTACAGCAAAGTTGCAAGGTACAAGATTAACTTAACAAAAATCAGTTGTATTTCTATACACTAATTAACAAACTAGCAGAAAGAGAACTCAAGAATACAATCCCATTTACAACCACAACAAAAAGAATCAAATATCTAGGAGTAAACTTAATAAAGGAGGTGAAAGCCCTATGCACTGAAAACTATAAGACAGTATTGAAATAAATTGAAGACATAAAGAAATGGAAAGATATTCCATGCTCATAGACTGGAAGAATATACATAGTTTAAATGTCCACATTACCTAAAGCAATCTACAGACTCAATGCAATTCCAATCAGAATCCCAATGACATTCTTCATAGAAATAGAAAAAAGAATTCTAAAATTTATATGGAACAACAAAGGATCCTGAATAGCCAAAGCAATCCTGAGAAAAAAGAACAAAGCTGGAGGCATCACAATCCCTCACTTAAAAACACACTACAAAGCTATAGTGAACAAAACAGCATGGTACTGACACAAAAACAGACACACACATCAACAGAACAGAAATGAAAGCCCATAAATAAAACCACACATCTATGGACAGCTAATCTTCAACAAAGGAGCCAAGAACATACAATAGAGAAAGGAAAGTCTCTTCAATAAATGGTGTTGGGAAAACTGGACAGCCACGTGCAAAAGAATGAAAGTAGACCATTATCTTATACCATATACAAAAATTAACTCAAAATGGATTAAAGACTTGAATCTAAGACCTGAAATCATAAAACTCCTAGAAGAAAATATAGATAGTACACTCTCTAACATTGGCCTTAGTAGCATCTTTCTGAATATGTCTACCCAGGCAAGAGAAACAAAAGAAAAAATAAACAAATGGGACTAGAGCAGACTAAAACGCTTCTGCAAGGCAAAGGAAACCATGAACAAAATGAAGACAACCCACCAACCGGGAGAAAATATTTGCAAATCATATACCTGACAAGGTTAATTTCCAAAATATATAAAGAACTCATACAACTCAACAACAAAAAGATAAACAACCTGATCAAAAAACAGGCAGAGGATATGAACAGACATTTTTCCAAAGAAGATATACAGATGGTCAACAGGCTCATGAAAAGATGTTCAATATCACTAATTACTGGGAAACGCAAATTAAAACTACAATGAGATATCACCTTACACCTGTCAGAATGGCTATAACTACCAAGACAAAAAATAAAAAATGTTGGAGAGGATGTGGAGAAAAGGGAACCTTCTTCATACACTGCTGGTCGGAATGCAAACTGGTACAGCCACTATGGAAGAGAGTATGGAGATTTTAAAAATAGGGGCCAGCCATGTGCTGTAGTGATTAAAGTTCCACGCATTCCACTTGGGGGCCCCAGGTTACAGGTTTGGATCCTGAGTGCAGATCTAGACCCCTTGTCAGCCACGCTGTGGAGATGACCCACATACAAAATAGAGAAAGACTGGCACAGATGTTAGCTCAGGGCTAATCTTCCTCAAGCAAAAAAAAACTTTAAAATGGGAATACCATACATACCAGCTAGCTATCCCACTACTGGGTCTTTATCCAAAGAAGTTGAAATCAACAATTCAAGGAGATCTATGAACTCCTTTGTTCACTGCAACATTATTCACAGTAGCAAAGACATGAAAGCAACCCCAGTGCCCATCAACTGATGATTAGATAAAGATGTGGTATATATATACAATGGAATACTACTCAGCCACAAAAAAAGACAAAATCGTCCCATTTGCAACAACATGGATGGACCTTGAGGATATTATGTTAAGCAAAATAAGTCAGACAGAGAAAGACAAACAGCATATGATTTCACTCATGTGAAAGATAAACACACACGTGGACAAAGAGAGCAGATTAGTGGTTACCAGAGGGGAAGGGGATGGGGAGGTGGGTAAAAGGGGTGAAGAGTCACATATGTACGGTGACGGATAAAAACTGGACTACTGGTGCTGAGCATGATCAAGTCTACATAGAAACTGATATATAATAATGTACACCTGAAATTACACGACGTTATAAACCAACATGAACTCAAAAAAACTCACAAGTCACAAAATAGGTAAAACGATGCTACCACACACACACACACACACACACACACAAAATTCACAGGTGAGTTAAGTCTGGCAATAAGATATAAACTAGTATGTTCACAGAATTACCTCTGAATGATGGGAATTGTGGGTGATGTTTATTTTATTGCTGGTTCATATCTGAGTGTTCTATAATGAACATATAGGACCTTTCCCCAAAAATACACACACATGCTTTTTTTCCTAAGTAAATCTATGGAGTTAGATTAGAGAGTGGGGGCAAAAAGAAGGTGTATACTTTTTATTTTAAACAGTTCTGAATGTCTGGTTTATTTATAACTAATACATAAACGATGTGCGTTTCAGATCAATTATGAAATGAGAACACAGATGGCAGGAAAATTTACTCAATCTATAAACACTATTACTGCAACCCCCAGACCCTACCACTACAGGTCAAGGCCCTGTCACTCACCCTCTCCCCCATGCCCAACTTGTATGGACACTTGTATGGACATTTTGGCATATGGTAGTCCACTAACAGAATGGCTAAAATCATGAATTTTATATTCATAACTGTCCCAGTAATCATCCTCATTAATTAAGACTTTAAACATATTCTTTGTTAAGAGTTACAAATTGAGGTTAGGAAACCTACGTCCCAGACAATTCAAACAATGATGATGTTTCCTCAAATAGAAATATCCAATTATCATATGATATATTCCAAGTTATACAAGAAAGAACTTACCCACAAACTCCCAGTATTTTTTATAATCAGCAGGAAATTTTCGTAAATGTAACTGACAGAATTTCTCTTTATTTGGAGAGCTGATCCATTCCTGTGCCACCTATATAACGCAAAAAAAGCAAATTAAGAAAGCAAAAACATTCTGGAAAGCCAAGGCTAAACAACAAAATTTTCCAAAGTAAGCAACAGTAAAATCCAGAACCTAGAATCCCAGGGTGACAGAAACATTAACAATTAATTTGGGACTTCCAGTTTCCAGTTCAGCATGTAAGGAACTCAGCAATTCCCACTCTATCCTAACAACAAATAAAAAGCTGATCAGACTGAAAAACCAACAATTCTTCTTAGATTCAAAGAGGGAAGTGAGGGCACAAGGCAAACTCCTGCCCCCAAAATTGGAGAGATAGACAAGTAGATACAGGTAATCTTAACTTACTAGAGTAGAAACCTCTGTACCAGGAAAGGAAAACCCGAACTGTAACTGACAAATTGCTGGAGGCTCGCCATGGATAATTATGAATGTCAAAAACTCTAGGGGAACCTAGTTGTAAGTGGGACCCCACACTTTGGTGCGTTTTACCTCTAGGAGTTCTACCAGGTCCTCACAGTGTATACTAGAGGAAAATCCCTTCACGTAACCCGAAGGGGGAAGGGAAAACAAACCATTTTGAAAGACACCAGAGCATTCTGATCTTCTTAACAAGGCTTGCTCTATAGAGAAACTATTTTACCAGAGCCTAATCTACTTGGGGGAAGAGAAATAACCAACTCCAGCCCATTCTAGCCATCCTGTTGCATCTAAGGAGGTGGGAAGTAACTGAGAAGCATGTGGAAAGCTCTCAGTCCACAGGCAAAAGCTCACAAAAAGACTGAGACCTTATTACAGGACAGCAGAACACTTCCCACTCCCCCACAATTTACCACCACATTACTAAAGGCCTGTTTAACTGCTGTTCCTTCTACCCAGTACATCATAGCTACCTGTCAACAAAAAATTACAAGGCATATTCAAAGGCAAAAAACACAGTTTAATGTGACTTAAACATTACAACCAGAGTCAGATATGACAAGAAGGTGGAATTACCAGAGAAGGAATTTTTAAAAACTATAATTAATATGCTAAGAGTTTAATGCAAAAATTAGATCATGCAAGAACAGATGGATGACAGAAGCAGAGAGATGTAAATTCTAAGAGAGAATCAAAAAGAAATGCTAAGAGATCAAAAACACTGTAATGGAAATGAAGAATGCCTTTGATGGGCTCATTAGTAGACAGGACATTGCTGAGGAAAGAATCTCTGAACTTGGGGATATAGCAAGAGAAACTACCAAAGCTGAAAAGCAAAAAGAAAAAAAAATTGGGGGGAAAAAAAAAAGAATATCCAAGAACTGTAGGACATCTGCAAAAGGTGCAACATACATGTAATGGGAATATCAGAAGAAGAAAAGAGAGAGAAGGGAACAGAAGAAATACTTGAAGGAATAATGACTGAGAGTCCCCCCAAATTTATGTCAGACACCAAATCACAGATGCAGGAAGCTCAGAGAGCACCAAGCAGAACAAATGCCACAAAATACACCTAGGTATATCCTATTCAAACTTCAGGAATATGAAAAATCAAGGATAAAGAAAAAATCTTGAAAGAAACCAGTGGAAAAAAACACCTTACCTATAAAGAAGAAAACATAAGAATTCATCTGATTTCTCCTCAGAAACCATGCAAGCAAGAAGAGATTGAGTGAAATATTTAAACTGTTGAGAGAAAATAGCCACCAACCTAGAATGCTGAACCCTGCAAAATTATCCTTCAAAAGTGAATAAAGAATCTGGGACAACAAAAATTGAGGGACTGTGTTGCCATTAAACCTATCTTGCAAGAAATGTGAAACGATGATCTTAGAAGGAAAACTTGGCTCTAAATAAACAGAGGAAGAGCATCAGAGAATAAGTGAAGGTACGACACAAATTTTTATGTGTTTTTCTGTGTGAGAAACATCGGCCCTGAGCTAACATCTGCGCGAATCTTCCTCTATTTTGTATACAGGACACTGCCACAGTGTGGCTTAATGAGCAACGTGTAGCTCTGTGCCTGGGGTCTGAATCCATGAACCCTGGGCCTCTGAAGCAGAAGGCATGAACTTAACACTATACCATTGGGTTGACTCCTATGCTTCTTATTTTTAATTGATCTGTTAGATAATAGTTTATTCAAAATAACAGCAACAATGTATTCAATTATGTATGCTTATGTGTGTGTGTATATATATGCTTATGCACAGTGAAATGAAGGATAGCAGTAATACAAGGGATGGGAAGAACTAGAATATTTTATTATTATAAGGTACTCACACTACTCGTTAACTGTTACCTGAAACTGGTCTTGGATTAGTGGTAAATATATACTGCAAGTTCTAGGAAACCACTAAAAAAAAAAAAAGAATTGATATGCTAAGCAAAGAGTGAAAATGAAATTAATATAAAATGCTCAATTAAAACCACGAAGGCAGAAAAAAGCATGGAAGACAAAAATAAGAACAAAGAAGAAGGGCAACAAATACAACATAGTAACAAATATGGCAGAAATTAATCCTCCTATGTTAATAATCACCTTAAATGTCAATGGTCTAAATACACCAAATTTTAGACAGGCTGTCAGTGTGGATCAAAAAACAAGACCCAACTAAATGCTGTCTACAAGAAACTCACTTTAAATATAAAGCCACCTTACAGATCGGGGCTGGCCCCGTGGCCGAGCGGTTAAGTTCGCGCGCTCTGCTGCAGGCGGCCCAGTGTTTCGTCGGTTCGAATCCTGGGCGCGGACATGGCACCGCTCATCAAACCACGCTGAGGCAGCGTCCCACATGCCACAACTAGAGGAATACACAACTATGTACCGGGGGGCTTTGGGGAGAAAAAGGAAAAAATAAAAATCTTTAAAAATATAAAGCCACCTTACAGATTAAAATAAAGGGATCAAGAAAGATAAACCACACTAACATTAATCAAAAAAAAAAGAGGGAGTACTATCACACAAGGCAATTTACATACATTTCTTAATACCACTACACTCTGTTCGTCGATGCCATTTCCACTTGAAGAAACTAAGAAGAACATTAAAGTAACTTGCCCAAGGTAATATAGCCAGTAACTGGCCAGATACGCTTTTTTGCAAACTTCTCATTATCCATATTTTCAAACACAGACAATAGAAGGAGCAATTTAAAAAAAAAAGAAAGAGAGAAAGAGAGAATAGCTATATTAATTTAAGACACAGCGGGGGCCGGCCCCGTGGCCGAGTGGTTAAGTTCGCCTGCTCTGCTGCAGTGGCACGGGGTTCTGCCTGCTTGGATCCTGGGCATGGATATGGCACTGCCCATCAGGCCATGCTGAGGCAGCATCACACATGCCACAACTAGAAGAACCCACAACTAAAAATACACAACAATGTACCGGGGGCCTCTGGGGAGAAAAAGCAAAAATAAAATCTTTAAAAAAAAAAAAAAGAGCAGATCTCAGGGCAAGGAAAATTATCAGGGATAAAGAGGGGCATCACATAACAATAAATGGTTTAATAATACAAGAAAATATAAGCTTTTATATACATGTGCCTAGCAACAGAGCATCAAAATAAGTCAGGTAAAAACTGATAAACCTGCAAGGAGAAACAGATTGATCCAAGATTTTAGTTGGAGCCTTAACACTCTTCTATCAGAAATGGACAGATCCAGTAGGTAGAAAATTAGCAAGACAGAGATTAACTCAAAAGCTCCAGCAAACAACTGGATATAAATGACGACTTCATCTACCAACAGCAGATTACACATTCTCAAGCTCACACGTAACACTTGTCAAAACAGACCACATTCTGCGCCATAAAACACACCTTAACAAACAGCAATTACACAATGTCAGCTTTCAGACTACAATGGAATTAAACTAGAAATCAGTAACAGAAAGCTGAAAAATCTCAAAATACTTGGAGATTAAACAACACATGGTCAATGACAAAATCTCAAGAGAACTTTAAAAATATGTTGAACTAAATCAAAGTGAAAAACACAACTTACAAAAACTTGTGAGATGTACCACGAGCAGTGCTTAGAGGGAAATAAATGTATCCACATAGAATGCATATATTACAACGAAAGACCTAAAATCAATAATCTGAGCTTCCATTTTAGGAAACTATAAAAAAGAAGAGCAAATTAAATCTAAAGTAAGCAGAAAAAAGAAATAAAAATTAGAGCAGGAATCAATTAAATTGAAAACAGGAAGTCAAGACAGAAAAATCAATGAAATCAAAAGCTGGTTCTTTGAAAATATCATAAAATTAATAAGCCTCTAGCCAGGCTAAGGAAAAAAGAGAAAACAAATTTCTAATATCAGAAATGAAAGAGGGGACACCACTATAGATCCCACATACATGAAAAAGATAATGAAGGAATATTATGAACAACTTTGTGCCTACAAATTTGATAACCTAGAGAAAATGGACCTATTCCTTCAAACAATGTGCCTACAAATTTGATAACCTAGAGAAATGGACCTATTCCTTCAAACAATCGGCCAAAACTCACACAAGAAGAAACAGACAATGTGAATAGGCCTACATCTACTAAAGAAGTCGAATCAATAATTAACAACAGAAAACACCGGGGCCAGATGGGTTCTCTGGTAAATTCTACCAAATATTTAAGGAAGAAATTATACCAATTCTCTACAATATCTTCCAGAACATAGAAGCAGAAGAATATTTCCTAACTCATTTTATAAGGCCAACATTACCCTAACACTAAAACCAAAGACATTAGAAGAAAACTATAGCCCAGTGTCTCTTGTGCACAAAGAAGTAAAAATCCTCAACAAAACATTAGCAAAATGAACCCAACAATGTATAAAAAGAATTACATCAGGATCAAGTGGCATTAATCCCACATATGCAGGCTGATTCAACATTAAAAAATCAACTAATGTTACCCATCACATCAACAGACTAAAAAAGAAAAGTCATATCAATAGATGTAGAAAAAGCATTTGACAAAATCTAATATCTGTTCATGATGAAATCTCTGCAAACTAGGAATAGAGGGGAACTTCCTCAACTGGACCAAGAACATCTACCAAAAACCCACAGTTAATATCATTCTTAATGATGAGAAACTTGAAGCTTTCCCATTAAAATCAGGTCCATGGCAAGGATGATCTTTCTCACCACGCCTTTTCAACATACTGGAAGTCCTAGCTAATGCAATAAACAAGAAAAGGTATATTCATTGGGAAGAAAGAAATAAAACTCACTCTCTTCACAGATGACGGGACTGTCTATGTAGAAACTCCAGAGGGGAAAGAAATATTATCTAGTTAGGCCGTGTCCTCAGACAAGGTACCAGTCTTCTTTTTCAATAAATATGGAGAATGGATTATTCTACAAAACTCCATGTTTCTAATAATTTGGTAATTTAACTTTTTTCAGATCAAATATTTTAATATTACATTTTCATAAAAATGCTAACAAAAAATTCATTCCCTTTGGTTATGAGATGCTTATGTTGTCCAGAAAATTCTCTTAATAAAAAAATTACATTATTAAAATAATAGCTAATTCACTGGGGAAAAGGAGTTCTTGCAACACTCGTTCCCAATAGCCAATGTTGCCCTTGCCTTATAGGTTACAAGAAGATAGAACCAAACACAAAACCTACAAAGCAACTGTCACTCATACCCATTATGTCATGTCTTCCCTTTCATTACAAAAGTCAAAGGCACACTCACTGACTTATGTTCTTGATCCCTCTTGTCCTCTTTAGGACTTCATCTCCAAAAGTTATCCATTTTCTTACATCAGTTTCTCCTGCCCATTGCTCCTTTCCACCAGCATACACCTTGACCTCTCTCAAAAAAAATGAAACCATGTGGGGGACGGGCGGTATATGGGAACTCTGTATTTTGAGCTCAATTTTTCAGTGAATCTAAAACTGCTCTAAAAAAATAAAGGTTATTAAAAAAAAAACAAAACAGAAAACAAACCGAACCCTTCATCTCCAAATCATTATCCAACTATTGCCTCATTTTTTTCTGCTCCCCTTCATTGCTTAAGTTTTCAAAACACTCCTGCCATTCACTTCTTTACACCCGGCTTCTGTCCTAACCACTCCACCAAACTTGCCATCAAGGTAACAACTCTACTTTCAAATTCAATGGTTACTTCCTTTTTTTCTTATTTTTCCTCCCCCCCTTTTGATCTCAGGTAAATGAATATATGAAGGATATGGTTAAAAAAAGAAAAAAAGAAAATTTCAAAGTAAAAATGACAGATTGAACACACGCATTTCCTTTCGTTCCTCTTGAAACCCCACTAAAACACCAAAGGGATTCTTAAAAATAGGATTAACTCACTAGGACAAAGAGAACAGAGAAAGAGAATAGAGTATCAAAATTCTGCAAGCTGGAAAGCAGAAGAACGAACAGTAACTAATTTATTAGCAAGTCCAAGAGGCTGAACTCCCACCAGTAAGCAATCTGATGCATTCATCTAGAAGAAGGAGGGCAGAAGGGAGACTGCCCCTCTCTGCTCCCAGCACAAAACCATAGACACTTGGTTTCTAGATAGGGTAAAACAGTCTCTGGCCTTGGAGACAGCAAGCAGGGTGGGGATACTGTACCGAAAAAAAGAGAAGCAAGCAAATGTTGCTGAATGCTACGAACCTTTCCTCTGTCCCCAACCCTCATCCTACAGTCAGCTCCCAGTTAGGCCTATATTTTCCAGGCAAAATATCTGAAGATTCCTCTTTAGGAAATCTGACGTAAGAGAAAAAAAAGACTAAAGCTATTGACATAAGGGTGGGGATGGGGCTTTCCAACAAAACACCAATGGTCAACAAGCCTACCCTTTCACTCAGTGCTTCTAATCTGCTTTAAAAAAAATCTTATATATAAAAAAATATAGATCATAACTACACATAAGCATACAATCTTAACAGTTAAAGAATAACACTAATGTTGGGGTGCACCAGGCTAAGATGCCCTTCAGATCACATTTGACTTCGAGAGTATAATATTAAAGAGGATTATTCTAGTAAAAGTATATGAGTTTCATCTGTTTTCCTAAGCATCTCTTTTAACTTGTCACTATTTAAATTTTCTTATAGCATTCTTACAATTGATATATATTACACACAATATAAAATTCACCATTTTAAAGTGTTCACTTCAGTGGTTTCTAGTAATTTACTATTTTGTGTAACAATCAACATTATCTAATTGCAGAACATCTCCATCATCCCCAAAGAAACTCTATACCTATTAGCTGTCAGTCCCACTTCCCCCCTCCATCCATCATCCCCTGGCAACAACTAATCTACCTTTTAGTCTCTATAGATTTGGCTATTCTGGACAATTCATATAAATGCAGTCACACAATATGTGGCCCTCTGCACCTGACTTCTTTCACGTAAAGCATTTTCAGGGTTCATCAATGAACATGTAAAAGTAGCAAGTAACAGCTCATTCCTTTTCATAGATGAATAATATTCCACTGCATATATATATCTCATTTTGTTATCCATTCATCAGGTGATGGACATCTGGGTTGCTTTCACATTTTAGCTACTATGAATAATGTTCCATCTGCTTTTTCATATCTTGTTCTTAAATGTGAGTAGACCACCAAAAATCATCAGGCATTTTAAGAAAGGAGTTAACATGAAAGGTCTATAGACACTAAAATGAAAAGGAAAAAAGCAATTGGGAAAACAAGGACTATGCAAAGAGAGGAAAACTTTTAACTAACTTTAAAATTATCACTAAGCTTTAGATAATACAAAAATATCACGAAAAAATGCCATGAAAAAAGAATAGAATCCTATAAAAAGAAATATTCAGGATCCCATGAAACTAAAAGTATGCTAAAAAAAAAAATTCAATAGTCTTGGGGTCTGGCCCTGTGGTCAAGTGGTTATGTTCACACACTCAGCTTCGGCAGCCCAGGGTTTTGCCAGTTTGGATCTTGGGCACGGACATGTAACCTCTCATCAAGCCATGGTGAGGCAGCGTCTGACATAGCACAAGAAGGACCTACAAGTGGAATATACAACTATGTACTGGGTGGCTTTGGAGAGAAGGAGGGGGAAAAAAAGAAGATTGGCAACAGATGTTAGCTCAGGTGCCAATCTTAAAAAAGAAAATGTCTTGCAAGTTGAGGAGGCCTCGGAGAAAGTAGAACAAAAAGAAAATGACACGGAAAGTAAAAAAAATAAAAGAAAATGAGAAGATTAAAATTTTAAGACATGCAAGCTTCCAACAATTTACCTGCCATACACCCTTTTCTCAGGGAACTTGAAGGATATGTCTTACTAAAGTGAGAGAGTGACCAAGAAAGACAATCTGGGGTATAGGAGACAGAGATCCAACATAGGATAGAAGGACACGAAGCCCCAGAATGAGGATGATGGATATTTCAGGACAACCATCACAAAGCAAGATGACGAAATGTATAGATTACCTGATGTGTCTGATCATAATAAGATTTATACGTCCAAAAGAGAATGTGAAGCTAATTTAGTAAAAAGTATATAGAAACTTAAGTAAATAAAGTAAATCCAGAGAAAACAAAGAGTTAGGAAAAATAGTTACAACATACTACATGACTTTGCTGCAGAAACCTTTTCTATAGTCAAAACAACAACAAACATTGACCTAAAAACTACAAGTCAACTCCACAGTGAGGGTGGGGGAACAGGAAAGCTGTGTTTGTGAAGGTAGGGCTGGGAAGAGAGGATACTTCCTACAGCAGGAAACTAACAGAAAATGCCTAAACTGAAAAATTAAGAAGCCACAATAGTGACATGTTATTTAGAAATATGAAAGTAAGTATCAAAAGGGTCCATTAAGAATCAAAAATGATTACTTAGGGAGTGAGGGGTGCCTGTGTTTTTTTATAATAGGTCTTAACAGAAGTATTTGACTATTTTACACAAATGGAACTCGTGCTCATTCTGTTTTGAAAAGGCTAGGGCCACAAAAATGTCCTGAAAAGGAAGAAATCTTAAATATAAATACATAAATACCTCATCTCAGGTAAAAATAAAATCAGAAATATGTGTCTGTCCTAAATTTAAGGGCTGGGAATGGCTTCTAAGCACTTTAGTGCTTTCCAGCAAGAACAAAGGTTAAAGAAAAAAATAAGCTTCAAAATGAATAAATTCCTGTATCTTCCCCAGTTTATTTAACTGTATACACTGTTGACTGAATTAACAACTTTTCTGTAGGAAGGAAATAATTCTTCTAATACTAACAATATTTTACTTTTATTTCATCAAGAGATTTAAGATCTTTTGTCAATTAGTTGTTTCTAATGCCTTTGAAACACCAGTAAAGGGGCTGGCCCCGTGGCAGAGTAGTTAAGTTTGCGCACTCTGCTGCAGGCGGCCCAGTGTTTCGTTGGTTCGAATCCTGGGCGCGGACATGGCACTGCTCATCAAACCACGCTGAGGCAGCGTCCCACATGCCACAACTAGAAGGACCCACAATGAAGAATATACAACTATGTACCGGGGGGCTTTGGGGAGAAAAAGGAAAAAAATAAAAATCTTAAAAAAAAAAAAAGAAAAGAAACACTAGTAAAATAATTCTTAAAACCATGGCTACCATTTAGGGCATAAATTGATAGAAACACATGAAGTGCATTTTAAAGATGCAGTGATTCAAGCTTCATGGCAGCTATTTATCTTGAAAAGTTATTATCAACTGACTTGATTATCTTATGTAGTAGACTTGCCCGTTTGTGCAACACATTTCCTTTCCTTCAACACACTAAGCTTGACCTTACCTTAAATGTCTTTGCATTCAACTCTGCCTGAAATATACTTCTCACAGTCAATTCTTTCTATCCAAACTGGTCTCAGTATAAATACCACTGCTCACAGAGGCTGTCTGACCTCTGAATCTATAGTTTGTTCTAGATCACACTAGAGCCCTTAACCCCATCTGAAATGATCACTTCCAGAAGGCAGAGGCCTTGTCTATCCTGTTCATCACTTTACGTTCCAGACCTGTAATAGCACTTGGCACATATTGGGCACCCAAATATCTATTAACTGAATGAATACATGAATAGTTACCTCAATGTTCTTGGTTTTGTTTTTAAGAGTTTTATTGCATACTCAGGTATCTTTTTTAAAAGAAATTTGACAAAGGAAAAATCTTCCAACCCCTTACCTCCTTTGAGAACACCAAAAACATCCCTCAAAATGCAGATGGATGCTTACCCTAAAGAATTATTAGTGGTTTTTCTGAGGTTCCAACTTAACTGGGAATCCTGTATTTTACGTGGCAATCCTACTCAGGGGGAGTAAGGAAGAAAGAAGAACCAGATGGGATGTGTTAGGGTAGATAGGCAGTTAAAGGGAGAGAGCAGCCGCTATGATGAGTAAGCAATTGGGAAGACAGATGTACAGAGACATTCAGGATTTACTGCTTTGTGTTGTTCAGTATAACCGACCCTTCACTACTGTAAGAAACTTCAGGGAAGGTCCACTTTAAAACAAGTGCAGATGGGACACTGCGTCCTCTGAGAAACCCTCCCTTACCTGTGCATCCAAAATCTTTCCTCCTGTGCTACCACTGGACTTGGTACATTAGCACTCTGAATTGTCTCTCTAAGCTCCAGGAGGTTAAGAAAGTGTTTCCTCTGTATCACCAGCTTCTAGAACAGTGTGTGGCACAAATGCCTGTTCAACATGAAAATCTAAAAAACTACATCCAAATCAGAATGAGGTCAGTTATTCTAAGTGAGTACTCTATAACTCAGCATGGTAAAGAAAAGAAGTAACTCAAAGTCCGGCCAGGTACACAATTAAAACATATACTTACTGTTTCAAAAGTATTCAGTATCATCAAAGGAAGAAAAACGTTGAAATATTCTCCACAATCTTGAAATTTGACAGGCACAGGTCTTGAGATGGACTGACAAAGACTTGCTGGGGGCCCACACTGATCAAAGTTCACAAACATTTCATATTTCCATTTTAAGACCTCTTTAACAAAGGTGTCAGAGACAGACTGTGATGACAAGAGAATGCTTACTGGAGAGGAAGCCAAAAAAGACTTGTTTTCACCAAATGGAAGTTTGTAACCTTGTCTGTTGGAATTATTTAGAGTCTGAGAATGAGGAACATTGCACAAACTCTTGACTTCACCCATTGGCTTCTGAGACACAAGAGAGGCTGGCTGTGGTGCTTTCAAAATAGATTGTACCCCATTTGACTTATTTTTTAGAGCTGGTGGAAGCGCTGAGGTATTTTCCAAAGACTTGGAAAGATGAGCAATTCGTGAAGTACTACGTGAGCTAAAAATCTTAGTGGTAGGTCTCCAAGGTTTAGATGAAGAAAGAGGCAAGCTAGGTTTACGAAATACATCTTCATCTGCTGCTTTAACTTCAGAGTGTTTCAAGCAGTACTCACCCTCGTTTTTCATAGTTTCAACACAATCTTTGTACTTACATTTTGTGCTACTCAAAGATTCCAACTGAGGCTGTCTTACAGAATCATCTTCTACCTGAACAGTATCTTTTCCATGAACTACCTCAATGAGTTTATCATTACCATTCTCCATTTGTGAACATAAATCCATATCCTCAGGGTCACGTTGTGTTAAAAATATATTATCTTCCTCTATATCACTGTTGGATTCAGGCTCTTGCTCTTTCAAAATTGCCAGCTCTAAATGATGTGCTGTTAGGTCACTTCCACCTAAAGGTTCCTCTGAAGTAGAAACAATTATTTCATTTGTTGGTATTCTTCCATTTAACACTACAGAATTACACTGGTTCAAAAGACAAGTATCATCAGTCCCCTGGGAAACATATTTTGTTTTCACAGGTTCTAGTTCAGAAGATGCACATTTTATTAATTGCCTGCCATCACTGTCAGCAATTGCCTCAGTTCCTCCTTTATTATCTGACCTAGCTGATTCTGGTACAAATATGTCAGAATTCTGCGCTGTGCGTGACCTTGTTTTCATAGTATCTGTACTTTCATAATCAAAACATCTTTGTTTATTTTGTTGTGATCTGGATCTCATCTGCCTTTGCAACTGCAGATCTTGATTTTTCAGCAATTTCTTATTATTTTTGACAGAAGTCTGAGAAATTAATTTAGTCTTCTTTGGGGTATCAACTACTCCAACAGTTTTGCCATGGTCACGTAACTTACCTATATGCTCTAAAGACCGCTGAGACAACTCAAATGCCCTACGAGGAGCCTTTTTCAGACCAAGTTTCTCAACTTTTGAAGTTGGTTCAGGACACTGGCGAAATTTCTTTGGTGGCACTACAGCAGGAGCTGTCCTACAACTTAAGTAATTTGAATTTTTATTCTGTCCTTTTTTGGCATCTGAATGTGTTTTCTTAGGGGTTTTAGAAAGTGGGACTTTCCTAACGGGTTTGGAATAAGCATGAGGCTTCGGAGAAGATTTCTTTAGGGAAATCGTGGTGGCTCTCTGAATACTTGAATTGGGAGTTGTAGTCTTTATGTCAATACTTTTAAAATTATTTTCAGTCAGACCTTTCTCATTAAGAATATCAGGCTGGACCTCCTTGCTGATAGATGAAGGCCTTAAAGGGTCTTCAGCCATAGGTTTTTCAATTTGTTTTCTCTTAGGTTTTTTTACTTCAATTTCACAAAATTCCTCAACAGAAATACTAGTACTCTGTGGTTCTGCGTGTTCTTCAATGCCCTCTGATACTTTTTTAATAACCTCTTCAGATACATAATCTGTATCATAACCCCAATCATTTGTGATATCAACTATATGAGTCAAGGATGAATTTTTTCCATCCTCTTGAACTGAATTCTTGTTGTCTGGTTTCTGATCTTGCCAAACTGAAAACACTTCACATGGACTTTCAAACTCAAAAAACTGAGAATCAGATTCCTCAAACTGTAAAAGGGACTGTGTCTCTTCTTCTTTTATTAGCTTCTTTTCCACATTTCTATTATCTACTGCAATATGCTGCTCTGGACATTCTTTCTCAACACATATTTTATCTTGTTTAGTGTGTTTCTCAAAACGCAGAATTCTTTCATCACCATCATCATCATCATCAGAATCTGAAATAATAATCACCTGTTCATGGCAGGTTTCTCCAACTTTGTTTTGGTTAGCTGTGAAACATCTCTTATCATCTCTTACTTTTCTTTGTAGCTGGGATGAGTTTCTTTGCGCTGAATCTGATGGAAACTTAATAACGCTAGCCTGAGCTATTAAAGACAATTTGTGGAGGTCTCGGTCTATCTGAGAATCTGTTAAAGTGTCAGAATTAGGACTGATGCTAGGGGCCTGTTCTCTCAAATTAGAAGAAACCTGATCGGTACTCTTGCTAATTTCCTTCTCTCTTGATTCAATTACAGTCATGGGATCTTTAAAGGGAGATGTTTTCTTCATGAAAGTATTAGTCATTTCTGTAAACGAGACCAAATCTTTATCATCAGCATGACATTCTTGTATTTGACAACTCTTTTCATGGGAAGAGAAAATATCTAACTCTTCATTCTTTAATTGTTTCTTTTTCAGTAGTAAACTGCTTTGAGATTTTTGCTCTCCATTTTTATCATCCAGAATACCATTAGGGTCTAAAGAGAGATTGTGTACAAAGCTATCCCCTTTCTGACCTCCTATATCTTTCCTTGAAAACAAATTCTCAACGTTAGATACAGTCCGGTTTTCCTCTAAATTGACAGCATTATTGACCAAAGTACTTTTCCTGTGTTGCTTCTTTATCACATGTGATAACTTAGCACAGATTTCATCTTTCTGTGACTTAGCTTTTGCTTTTGAGGTTTTACTGACAGCATCATCCTTTAAAGGGAAATCTTCATTTGATGTGGATACCTTTTCCAGAAAATCAGTGCTAGAATCAGTCAACAAACGTGTTGATATTATTATTCCTCTGTCACACCCTTTTTCTGGACCATTTCTTGAAGTACAATTCTGTCGTTTATGTAAGGAATTCTCTTTCACAGACTTCTGCTTCCTTGTACTTATTTTAACTTCATCTTGAGCTCTTTCATTGACAAGATTTTTACTACTCTGCTTTAAACATGACTCAGTTGAAAGATGGTCTTCTAGTTTGATGTCTTTTATATAATTTTGCTCATTATCCTCTACAGTGTTACTTGCTTTGATCAATAGACTCTCCTGCACTTGATATGCATCAGCTTTCATTGGTTCTTTAGAAAACGTTGGGCTGGAATTTTCCAGACAGCGTATGTCTTTTTTAGACTTCTTTCCTATTTGTTCATTTTCCTCTTTAGTATAAGATGCAGGAGGGGTTTTACACGCAGGAGTCAGATCCACCAAAGTGTTACAAGGAGGTGGTTTGACTTTTATGTTTCGAATAATTTGCTTTAAACAAGTTTGTAACTCATGGGTTTCCTGACTAGTCAGCTGCCAACCTAGAGATAGATTTCCTCGCAGGAATAAATTGAGCTTATCCCAGAATCGCTTACAAAGAGTTTGCTGCCCAAGCTGATAACCTTCTTTAAGGAGACTTCTAATCAGTTGCACACACGCAAGTTGTACAGAGTTAGATGGCAGTGAATGCAATGACAGAGATGACATCATTGATGTTCCTTTGGAGCAATTTCCAGATGATTTCTCAGAACTCCGTGCAAATGCACTGGTTGGAAGTTTGGCACATTTTACAACGGCTTCAACCCATTGTTGGGAACTAACCCACAGCAAATGCAAACATTTTTTATTTCTATGCAGTTCAATCACTGACACCAAAATTAGAAGAAAAAATTCACTGACTTTGTCACACACAGCATCTGCTTGGTTGAGGACATCTTTGACTTCAGAGTGCAGATGATGAATAACCTCTACTATATAAGCCACACCCAAATCCTTAAGATCCATGAGGGATTGAACAAAAGGGATGAACCACAGAAATGTGCTGTTATGAACACGCATGTCTTGACCAATATCTGACTGAAGCAAACTGGATAATGTTTCCATTTCTTCATACATGTTAGGACAATAATCTGGGCAAATGGCTGATCTCCACCCTGAATCCTAAAATGAAAGAAATACTGACATTCAGATAAACCAGCACCATTCATGATAGGTTGTAAACAAGAAAATGCACTGCTCAGTTTTCCTATTTTTATTTACACATACATATACGTACCCCCCAAGAAACTGAAAATATAGTTCAATTTTGAGGCTAATGTTTCATGAAAAGGTAAATTTACAACATCTCCATGTATTCTGGCCTTCTTTCCATTAGCTGGTTTTGATTTCCAGTCATGTCACTTACCTCCCGCTATCCCATCAACTTTCCACCCTTCCTAACTACACAAATATTAAACCTTCCAAAGTGTGCACACTGCAGTTAGAATCCATTTTTCCCCCGTGCACAACACATATGCTCAATCAGAAAGCCTTTATGCAGCAGTTGATTCAGAATGGCTGCATATCATAAAATCAGTAATTCAACTAATAATGTAGAAAACACTGTCTATACAACATAAAGGCAATACAATGTCATCTGAATACTCAAATGCTTTATACCTTTTTGGTCTTTTCAGGATTATAATTGTATACAATCTGGCTGCAAGTCACCATGTCATCCAAATATGACTCCGGTTCTATCTTGGTCCTGAAATATTAAGAATAAATAAAAATTACTGAAATGAAGGCGGAAAAAAAGAAAACCCTATCGTTAAATCAGTTATAAGAGACTTCCCTGTAGAGATTACTTTTAAATCTTGAGACATTAACTGAACTAACCTTACAGAGCTGTTCCGTATATTTTGAATCTCTCTATTGTAGCTCACATTATTGATAATAGTTTGAAATGCTTCAATAGGATCAATAAGTTGACCCCAGACCTTAGATCCAAGGCGATCCAGAATCACCATGAAACAGTGTAATGCTGGCCAGAAAGGATCCACACTATCATCTGAAATACAATGGAGTAATTACTGAATTACAAAACAATTAGAAAAAGATACTAGAATATATTGAGAATTAAGCATTCTTTATTTGGGCAGTAACAAAACTGAAAGCAAAGCAGCAAGTAATTTAAACTAAAGCGGTGCCTGACAGGTTTTAAAAAGGTGGCAAAATTTTAAATTTTTTTGCATTTTCTTCAAGCAATACTATACACCTCTGCAAGAAATTTTTTTAATGGAGGACAAATTGAGACAGCCTAGCTACATTCAACTTTCTCACCCTGTTTGCAACATCTGAAACAATCTTTCCCACTAGCCCCTCAACTTCTCCCAGAACTTTACACTCCCATCCTTCAATAAATAACAGAAGTAGATGAAAAAAGAGAAGAAAAACTTGGTATTTACAGATCTAAACAATGCCCAGGATATAAGAAATTCTGGTTTAGCATGATCCTGAATTGTGTGTACCATTTGGCTGGTGTGAAGGACTCATCTCTGAGCTAATGGGTAAGCAGAGACATACAGCCTTCATCCATCATATCTCAATATATATGGCTTTGATGTTATCTACTTTTCATTCAATTGACAAGAATTCCCATTACTCACAAGCTCTCACCTCCAGTTTTTTCCCTCTTCTCTACCAGATATGCAGCGGCAAGATATCGCCCTACTCAAAGAGCTTCAACTGCTCCTCAATGTCTTCCAAGAAAATTCAAAGGGCTCACTGAAGCACTTAGATCTCAGTTTATTGTTTCTTTCTAGCTTTATTTTTCACACCCTCATAACAATATCCCATATGGGTATGATTGCTGGCTTTTTCCCAAATAAGAATCAGAATGCCTTCACTACTAGCATCATATATCAAAATCCTATCCACCCTTAAAGTCCATTTCGAATGCCTCTCTACATGAAACATTTCGCTATTTAATCATCTATAGTACTCTTCTGAGCCAAGTGCTCTAACTCACTCAGTTACTGATAATGCTATTTAGTCACCCCAGAACTTTCTGCTTTATTTCCCTCAGGGCTGTTAGACTCCTTTTTTATCACAGTCATTTGTGTAGGCCTTCTCATAAACTATTTTATCCTCTAGCACAGCTCACACAATGTCCTACGCCCAGTAGGCTCTCAAATAAGGAATGAAAGTTGTCAGGTGAAGACAATTAGGAAAGGTTTCTTAAAGAGCTGACTCACATTTTGAAGAAGGTTATGGGAGCTGGATTACAGAGAGGACAGAAATATATGTGCAAGGCACAGGGAAAGAAATGAACAACGTATGAGTAAATGCTGACAAACAAATTAGTAATAACCTTAATCAGGCATAATCTAGGAAGAAAATACACGTGATCAAAAAAAGAATGTTATGTATTTCTTTTAGAATCTCCCACAAATGAATTTATATCCACATTGAAGTTGCCTAAAGAGAAGCGAATGTGGAGAAAAAATTATATTCATTAGGTTTTCAGATGATCTGACATGCTTGACCTTTACTGATTTATTCCTCCATAAAGAAGATAAACACTTATGTACAGATCCTCCCTAATCAGCTTGATATAACCATGAGCAAAAGAAAGTTGAGGTCTAATAATAAACTTGACTACAAGTTTGAGACCCTATTTTCTAGACTATCTGAGCAGCTCTGTCCAAGAGAACTTTCTGTGATGATGGAAATGTTCTCTATTTGCACTGCTCAATACAGTAGCCAGCAGGCACATGTGGCTACTGAGCACCTGAAGTAGAGCTAGTGGAACTGAAAAACTGAAATTTTATTTAATTTTAATTAATTTAAAAGCCACATTTGGCTAGCAGTTACTGTGCTAGACAGTGGAACCCTGGAGAACCAAAGTGAAAGAGAGAACCAGGAAAAAGGGAGACAGTGGGACAGAGGAGGCTTTCGCCACAATTTTAACTATCATGTCATTAGAAATTTATCTCCTATAGGTTCTAGTCTTTATTCTACCACTAACTAGGTATTTCAACATGAAAAATTAATTTAACTTCCCTGGGCTTCAGTCTCTTCTTTTATGAAAGTAAGGTGTTAAACTCTAAACTTTCAATTTAAAATTCTGAATCCTTGACCTAAACCATAAAATGTTCACTCTTCTTTTCTTCATACTATACACTCAAATTCTTGTAGTGACACTAGTATTTTAAAAGTGGATCATCATCACAGTATTCAAAAGCATTTAGCAAATAAAGTTTATTACCATCTGATGGCCTCTCCATGGTGTGAAGTATTGATTGCATAAAGTCATTTTGTTTGTCTGAGCCCAACAACAGTGAATCCATGGCTTGCTCCTCAAGAATGGTCAGCAACATGCAAATACCTGTAAAATTATTTACAGTTTTCTTGAACTGATTCAATGACACTGTTCTCATGCCTTGTCTGGTTTAGCTGGCAAGAGTGACAAGGCAGTGAGACAAAGGAAAACAGTACTCAGTTCCTCAAACCTTCAAGTCTGAGATATGCATACACACTGCTCCCAAGTAACAGGACTTCAGACTGACTCGAGAATAAAAAGGGAAAATGCTAAGAACTTGGTTAGAAAATTTCTAAAATGACTACCACACAATTTGTATTTCATCAAATCTAAGATGCCTTCAACTTTTAAGATCACCATATTTCAAGTAGCAATCACTGCCAAACATGACACATGACTGCAAGACTTAGAACCAATGAAGTAGGGTAGAACTATTTTGAGTCAGCATAGAACTTGTTGAAAACCAATGCTAATATCTCTTTCTACCAGGAAATATTTTACAGATGGGAAAGAGGTATCAAACCTCTTTTTAAAATAGATAAAACCCTATTAAAGTCAATTCTATACTAATATTCTGTTACCTCTCATATTGCTTTAAATAAAAGATCTATTTGTTATACCTGAAAATGTGCCTCTTACAAAAATGGTTTCTAGCATAAATTATGTTTAAAAATAAGATGTAATGGTTAAGTCAATTTAATGATAGAAAAAGACCTGGAAACTACGAAATCCTATATTTTAGCAATTTTGATCAGATTACTGAAAGAGATCACTTTCTTTGCAGGATATTCATAGGAACTATAAGAAAATACTAATTATATTTGTGTAGGAACAATACTCACCTAACCAATAGTTTTTATAGTTGGTAGTATCATACATGTGCGAGGGCAGAAGAATCAGTTTGCCCTTTTCAAGGACAGAAGAAGTATAAATGTCTGGACTTTCTAAAAGCCCCAATTCAATGACTTTAAAAAGGCAAGTCAAAACCTCCTGTAAGTCATAATAATCATCTCTGTCCACTTTCCCCAAGTTTCTTGCGGTCAGGATAGCCCAACGCCGAACCTAAAAGCATTAACACATTCATTACTTCATTCAAGAAACAAATGTCTACATACAGCAAGAACCTAGTTAAGAAAATATGATTCTCTATGGATTTTTAAAGATACTAATTAATGCAATGTGTGGACCTTATTTGATTCTGATCTGAACAAACTAACATTAATAAAGGATTTAGGAGATAATCATTTCCATTCAAACATTTTTTTTAAGGGGGGCAAGGGCAGGAATGACTGTATTATTCAGATACGTAATTGTCAGAGAGACAAAGAAAGGCTGAGGAAATGTTCCAGATTAAGGAAGACTAAAGCAACATAACTAAATATAAGACCTGATCCTGGGCTGGATACTAGAGTACGGGGGAAAATGCTATCAAAAACACTGGATCACGTGACACAACTGGAAAATGGACATTATTGTATCAATGTTAAATTCACTGAAGCTTATAATACTACGGTTATGAAAGAGAATATCCTTATTCTTAGGAAACACACACTGAAGTATTTAGGGATGAAGGGCCATGGATGTATGCAACCTACATTTTAAGGTAGCGTTTTCCTTATATGTAATTCAGCTCTGGGTATTCTTTTCTTTATATATTTTTTTAGCATGGGTTAATTTTGAAATGTGGAAACTCATTTATCTTTTTATTATCTTCTATCTAAACTATGTTATGATCAGAGAACATGATACCAAATCCTTGAACTGTGTTGAAACTTTCATCATGGCCTAGTATGTGATCATTTTTGTAATGTTTAATGTATGTTAGAAAAAAGGTTAGATACACAGCTCATATAAGTATGTTCATTAGGTCATGCTTGAAAACTATCTTATATAGACATTCTATACGCTTGCTGAACTTTTTTTCCTACTTACTCATCAATACTGAATGTACGTTGAAATCTCAAACAACAAATAATGAATTCATCTATTTCTCTCTGCGGTTCTACCAATAATTGTATCATCTATTTTGAGGCTATTTTAACTAGCATATTACTTATTTAAAATTGCTACATCTTGATGAATTGAATTTCTGTTATTACGAGATAACATTATCCATCCTTATCCTAATGTCTATTTTACTGGATCCTATTATAGCTTCACCAGCTTTGTTTAGGTTGGTATTTGCCTATTAGTTCTTTTTCCATCCCTTACATCAATCTTTTTATTTCCTCATGTTTTAGGCGTGTGTCTCAGGAAAAAAAACTACCTGGATTTTATTTTTTTTGTAATCCAATCTGATTTTTGTCTTTTAACTGACAAATTTAGCCCACCCACTTACAATAAATATTGATATCTTTAAACCTGTTTATATGTATGAGTCATTTTTTTCTATTTAAAGCATTTACTTTTCAAAATAATTCATACCTATCTCTGCCCTTAACTGGATGAAAACTTAGCATGTATGCTCTCACATCTTTGGCCTCCTTGCCTGCCAATCTCATCATACTGATATTACCTATGCTAAGTTATTGTTGATATACTCACTTTCTTTGAACTTAGCTTTTTTCCTTAACTAACAAACTTATTCAATCAATTTTATATATCTCTTACAACATTTTCTGGATTCTTGTCTCTTATTTACCTCTTTGGTTCAGTGTGGCTCTAACACTAGCAGCTCAGGATTCCCAACCTTTGGTCACATAAGGGATACTGTAGACTCAGTCACCAAGCCTGCAAGAGCTTGGCCCAGATCTTGGTTGCTCAGCTGGACCCACGTCCTCTACTGGTAGGCAGCTTTATAAAAGCCAGTCCCAGAGAGCACCTGGCTGTACTTTCTGTCAATTTCCTCTCACAGCCAGAGGAGCCCCACTCTTATTTTAAGCACAGGCCTTGACTCTGGTTCTCTGCCTTACCTGGAGTATACTTGTAATTCCTGTTATCCCACACAAACTGAATCCTCAGCTACCTATAGACACCCAAGTCTAGAGGTTTCCACCATTTATCACTTTGTGTTTCTGCTCCACTGCTGGACTGCTGGCCCACAGAAACATTTACGTTTTGAGGGGTCTGATTATACCTTTCTAAATTCCTCTTTTTCAATTTTTTCCAACATTGTCATGGGTTCTGCACTGAGGAGACTGAAATTCACCATCATCTTGGCTGGAAACTCCAGTATCATGCTCTTTCTTTGCTGCTTAAAAAAAAAAGCCTTCTTTTCTAGCCTTATATTGGCAGAGCAACCCTTCATGGCTACTGGCTTAACGTAGTAACTCAGTTCTAGATGCCCATGGACCTGCAGCACAGACTGCCAGGCCACATGACCTCATGCCTCAGCAAGCTCAATGTAAGGTTTCAATACTCCACTGCTGCTTTCTGCTTCTGTTCCTGTCTACTGTTCTGATTCTTATGTCCCTCTTCATTTCTAGCACCTAGGAATTGATTTTCCTTATCCCACTCCCTGCTCCCCCCTTTTAAAAAATCTCATCTATTAGCAAAATAATTTTCTCAAATATTTTAACTAGTATTTCCATGTGTTTGTAGTGGGGCAGGCAGGCAAGCAAAGCAAGAGAGAACACTCCTTCTTCTTTAGTTCATGTCAACATACTGAAAGAAGTTCCAATTATTCCCTTATTTGTCTTTGAAGTTGAAGCATCACCAGTCAGAAGTATTCCCTTACCCTCTTGGTTCTCCTCCTCTTTGACCCCATAGCACTCTCTACTAAACTTCAGTAATTTTACAAGAAAAGAATAACTTCGGCAAACATTTTAAATGAAATACACACCAAACACCTCTATTATAGCTAGCTATACGTGCAAATATAAAGTCCTTCCATTGCCTAACACTCATACTCACCATTTCATTGGGATGGACCAAAAACAAATAGATCCCTGGATGCTTGTCAAAAACCTGAAAGGAGCAATTAGCTTGTTCCATCCGACAAAGTGCTTCAACACATAATTCATCTAAATGGAAAAAATAAAGCAGTAAATATAAGACATAAATCTTATCAACTTATTAAGATTCCCTAAATCTGACTCCTTCAGTTGTTCTTTAATAAAAAGCTGTTTGTTTTAAACTAAGGCATAAAAATGCTGATAATGTAAATGTAGGAACAATATTAACCAATCTGAAAGACTAATTGGATGATCACAGTGTCTTCCTATGAATTATTCTGACTTTACTAGTACACACAACTTCATTTAATACTTGGCATAATTATCTCCATACAGTATCTTCTTAGAAGTATGGTTATAGGTGTAATTTCATTAGCATTTTACATTTTCATCCATGTGGACTTAATCTGGTACCAGAGTGATAAAAAAAATTCAGTGTTTCTCCAAATGGCTATTTTGTCCTACTCTCATTTATTGAATAATTCATTTTCCCCATTGGTTTGAAATGCTAGCATCATCAAACACTAAATTCCCCAAAAACACTTGCTTTACTTCTGGATTCCCTACACTGTCCCACTAGTCTATCTATGCCCGCACTCTTCTAATTCCTATTGCTTTATGAAAATTTCTTCATTACTCCTTCAGAAGTGTCCTGAATCAATTCACATACTTACCCTATCAGATGAATCAACTTTAGTTTGTCACACTTCAAAGAATATTGTTAATGGCAGTGGATGGCTTTGGGGAGGAGAGAGAATGACTGAAAAAGCACGAGGGGAGGTCCTGGGTGTTGATAATGTTTTGTTTCTTGATTGGGTGCTGGCTACATAAGTGTATTTAGTTTGTGAAAAATATCAAGCTAATATACTTTTCTGGATATAGCATCCCTCAATAAATGTTTGAAAAATGACTTGTTTGGATTTTACAATCTACTTTGAATTTATCTAGAAAGAATTGATTTATCTAAACCAAATATTTAGAGCTGCCCTTCAGTGTACTGAAAATATCAAGGGTAGAAAAAAGTTAAATAACATTATAAGGAAGCAGTCTGAAAAATCCAGAAAGTGCATTATTCTACAGGGTAACTATATGGCCTCAACAAGTCAAAGTTATGGCAAAAAAAAAGTGTGTGCGCGTATATGTATAAGTAGACTGTTTTGGATTAAAAGCAACGTAAGAAACATGAACCAAATGCCATGGCCCCTGAGTGGACTCCAATTTAAACATACCAGCCAAAAAACACATTTTGCAACTACTGTGAAAATTTTAACATGGACTAGATATTAAACACCTTAAAGGTTTTGTTATTTTGTTAGATGTCACAGATCAGGAAAATGTCTCTACTTTTAAGAGGTTCATTTTAAGAAATGCAAATATAAACGACCAAAAGCTCAGCAGCCATAATATACCGTGCCATTGTGATTAGTGAAAATTACTAGAGACCAGTGGTTCTCAATCAGGGGTGATTTTCTCTCTCCCCACCCTGTCCCCCAACTCCCAATTCCGATGTGGCAATATCTGGAGACAATTCTGGTTGTCACAACTGGGGTGGAGTGAAGAGTGGGTTGTTATTGGCATCTAATGGATAGAGGCCAAGGATGCTGCTACACATCCCACAATGAACAGCACAGCCCCCCCACAACAAAGATTTATCCAGTCCAAAATGTCAATAATGCCAAGGTTGAGAAAGCCTGCTACAGACAAATTACAAGAACGAAGACTAACTGAATGGACAGATGGATGACTATGTGATAGAGCAAACACAGCAAGACGTTATCAACTGCAGTCTATGTGGGGCATACATGGTGTTTGCTGTGTAATTCACATTGCTGTATGTTTGGAAACTTTCAAAACAAAATGTTGGGGAAAAATATTAACTACCCTAATTATATGTTTAACAAACAGACTTTTAACATAGATAAACTTAAGTCCTTATAATTCTTAAATAATAAAAGTGACATCACTTGTAGAACACCTAAGATACTCACTAACACGCTCATGTAAAAGCAGATAAGGATATTTCAGTATTTCAAGAAGAGGAACTCGAAGCTTATTTTCAAAGTCTTGGCCAGTAAAGTCAAACAGTTGTGCCTCTCCATTGTTGTCTACTATATACAATTCATCATCATCTCCAATTTCTGCTTTCATGGATTTTTCAAAGTGATTTATGAGACGTAAGGTTTCTAATTCCCATAAAACCTGCAGGAAAAGAAAAATATGCAGTGTGCTTTATATGTTATTATCAACAAAATATACTAGATGTGATGATCTTTCAGTTATTTCTAGAAAGCCATTTCCCAAGTATAAAAATTCAAAAATTTAAAGACTCTATTATAGAGTATTAATAATACAGAATATAAATAATAGATTTTTATTCTATAATAGAATTATTTTATCATTCTATAATAGAATAAAAATCTATTATTATCACATAATAGATTTATTTGAAGAAAAGTCACTAAACATAGCCACTTTTATGATCCTTGAACATGAGTACATAAAGCATGAGATATTTAAACACTGCTCTTGTAGAGTTTTGCTTAAATATCTCAACATCCCTATCAACTATAATCTATTAAAAAGGAAATGAGAAGTTGGAGTTTCTTTGTCAAAGGCATGAGTTGGGCCTTCTATGTCTTTTATTCTATGTTCCAGCCATAGGAACCTACCTTAAAACATCAGCTTTAGCATACACTGGTTAGTTTCCTAACTGGGGAACTTTGTAAATGCAAAAGTTTTCTCAACAGATTCACAACTAATCACCCCCTCCTCTTTTCTAGAGTGTACATATCTCCATGGTCTGTGTTCTGTTTTTCATCAGAAAAATGTAATAAATCAACTACTCAAAGCACATTTAAAATTGTATGTTTCACTTTGGTTACTATGACTGGAAAATATGCTTGCCCTTAGAGGTTTATACCATTTACCCATTAAAAAAGGAAAAGAGAGAGGAAAAAAAAAACTATTAACCAATAAAAAAAATAACCCAAACTATTTAGACACATAAATGTAATACTGTCAAACAGAGATATAAAAACATAAACCACAAAACCCTCTATACAACACTTCATTTCATAAAATTATTTTATATCAAAATAACTAAAAGTGAGGTATTATAAAATTCTGTTTTAAGTTTCAATTCAATTCCATCAGTCCACAAGCATTTACTCGGCACCTATTATACCAGGCAATGAGCTAGGTACTAGAGGTTTATTAGCCTTGAAGTTTAAACGATATCGTCAGTTCCCTGAATGCTTCCAACAGAGTTCAAATTTATTCTACTGCTAGTTACCAAGCTCTGAGAAATACTGCCCATCTAACATAAATTACCTCATGCAAGAATGGCAATTCATCCCTTGCTTTATGGTATTCGGCCACACACTCTAAGCAGTAACAGAGGTCTTCATCAGCTGTTTGAAATTCCCTGGAGTGGGTCCTGGATGCATAGCGCTTTAGGAAGTCAATGGTGGAAATACCACCAGGCGTACACCAACAACATGTGCTCATTCTGTACCTATTTCCAGAAAAGAAGACATCTAAAGACTAAAGAAAAAAATAACAAAACAACACCTGAGACCTATTTTTGTGTGAAGAATGGGTACACCTCCTAGCAATGACCCTCATCTTCAACTTAAATTGTGCCTCCACCACACCCAGGATGTTCTGCGGGCCAGCTTATCAATCACTGATGAAACTCAAATCTGAGCCCACTCTTAAAAAATTTTATCTTCGAAACATAATGAAATGCAAGTACTCAGTAATAAACATCATAAGGCAATACACAGCTCTGCTAGAGAGAAGGCTCAGTACTATGCAGTACCGATGGAAAATATAGAGAGACAGGATTATCAATATTTTCAAAGTACAGATTTTGAAGTGTTCTAGCGATGTATTAGAGTTGAGTCAAAAGCTCAAGAAACCTCTCACATTCCAGAAAGCCATGTTTACAAATCCCTGGAAACACAAAAGTCCATAAATATGAATCCATACCAGTAACAAAAAGTCACATAGAGGATTTTCTTGTTTAGAGGGTAAACGTACATGAATTTGCATTTGTGTATGAATTGCTGCCCATAACTCACTGCTCGTCAATGCACCATAAACTATAATAGCTACAAATGTTGACAACCTACTGCCACTAAGTTTGATACCTACAGTTTTTTTATTTTTTATTTATTTTTATTTTTTTCCTTTTTCTCCCCAAAGCCCCCCAGTACATAGTTGTATATTCTTCGTTGTGGGTCCTTCTAGTTGTGGCATGTGGGATGCTGCCTCAGCGTGGTTTGATGAGCAGTGCCATTTCCGCGCCCAGGATTCGAATCAATGAAACACTGGGCCGCCTGCAGAGGAGCGCGCGAACTTAACCACTCGGCCACAGAGCCGGCCCCGATACCTACAGTTTTTGATTGTCAGAGCTTTTGTTTTTATAATAGCACCAGAGCCTCCACCATCCAAACTCAATCAAAAGGATTAAGATGAAATAATTTTTCAAATCTCAGCAGCCTCGAAGAGAGCAAAGTAGCAAGAGAGCACCAGGAAACGAGGAGATCCCAAGGACCAAACATGTCAAAGGTTTGAATGAAGTTATATGAGGCAGGTTTATGAGAACTGCCAATAGCATGAAACTGAAAGGATTACCCAACAAGACGGAGGGGAAAATCCAAAGAGATCTCCAACTCTAATAAGGTGTAATTAAAATGACCTAAGATGCTGTATTTTTAATCCTAACTAAATGCATATAAAAGCAAACAGAAAGCTCATTGGCGGTAAACAGTGTAGTGTGGCTAAACAAAAGACAAATGTTTGCACTGAAATAAAAGGATGGGGCATGTCCAAGAGACACAGGAGCCAACCTGAAGAGAGCTCCCAATGGCCAAAGCTGAAATAATTTGGACAAAATAAGTAAGTAATATTGGATTATAACCCACAACATAAAGTATACATGAATCCATACTATATAAACAACTGAATGAATAAACAAATGTGGAAGAAAGGGTTAATATTCCTTATAGAAGGATTCCAAATAATATATAGGGACAGTTACTCCCTGTTTCAGGGGGTGGAGACAATCCTACCCCATCTTGAGTGTGGGCTGGACTCGGTAAATCACCTCCAAAGAAGAGGGCATGGAAAGGGGAAAACCGCAACTTTACAGAGGAGACGTCTGGTGAACACAACCTCAACCAAGTGAACAAGGTTAACATCACCAGTGATAACTCATGTTGATAACCCCTGACGTAATGTGAAGAGGAAGGTACTTCAACTCTGTAGCATGCTTCTCCAAAGCCCATAACCCCAGCCTGTTGCTGAGAAAAACATGAGACAAACTCAGAGTATAACCTAAACAGCTATCAGCCAGTCTGCAACAAGAAGGAAGAAAACCTCACCCAAGGGGAATCAAAGCAAGTCTTCTCTCACATGAAAATTAGGGTTTATCGGGAATCAGACCAGGAAATTATCCAAACCTGATCTTGAGAAACTTGACTTTAAATTAACTATCCAATGAATGTAAAATATCGGTCTCCTGGGGTGAAAAGTTACAAACCCAACTGTAAACTCTACCAAGTTCATTTCATAAACTAGATGGACCTAACCCATACATTTTCATCAAGGGTGACGTCATCCTTCATATGAAAACTGGTTAGCAAGACACAAAAAAGGCCTACTCTTTTTATGTATAAAGCACAGATATACACATAGTACATAAAGAGATATACAATATACTGGTGCTATTAAAATTCATGGAAGTTCATAGGAAGAAATGTCTAAAAAGTTTCCTTCAGGGAGGCAGAAGGGACAATACAAGGTTAAGAAATATAACCCAAATCATTGAATTTCTGGGTAAAGAAACTTGAGTGTGGTTTTTGAATACATATCACCCTAAAATTCAGAGCGCAGAATGTCCGCTAATGGGAAATTGACGACATTTTGACAGAAATTATATTTTACTGTTAAGGTTTTCGTGGTACAATGCCAGTTCGTAAAATAAAATGATTTTTTAAAAATTCCTTATTTTCTTCTGACATCCACCATTGAAGAATTATATATAAAGGCATAAGTATAATACATGAATCTGTCCTGTGAATTGAATTTTTAAATTTATTAAACATTAATTGTACACTTTCTTCATGCATCTAAGAAGAATTAAGGGCAGCTTCCAACATTAAAGTACATTCAGAAAAGGACATTTCAAAAGATTACAAAAGAGAGGAAAATCGAAACTTACTAAGAAGAAAGTTAATTTCAAGTAGGAGCTTCCTGAAAAGCAGAGCAAAAAGATCACATGATGAATTACGCAGTCCCCATTTCAAAAAAAGAAAAAAAGTATGTTAGTTCAACTGGAGAGCACTGCCCTTTCCTATCACTAATTCTAATTCTATTACATTTTATCAATGCCTGCCTTGTACAAGGTGCTGTAAACCAGGGAATGCTAAGCAACATAATGGATATGTTTCTGCAGAACGTGAAATTACTTTATTCAAAGAAGAATTTCTTATGCTTGAAAGGCGAAAACCATGATGCTCGGAAGTGAAAAGTCTGCAGAATCTGTTTTTTCCGGTGATCTAATTGACTGTGGGGAGGAAACGGAGAAGATCTGAGAATAGAAAATGAAACTTGCTAGAGACTACTCAAACATTGACTGGTTTAAGCATGATTTTGGCAGCTAACAGACTGAAGTAAATTCAAACTCTGAAAAAGTTAAGGGATTTAAGTATAAATAAAATGTTCCATACTTAAAAATAATTTTAATGAAGCAGTTAGCACAAGAAACCTTCTACTAAGAAAATTAGAGTCTGCTTTTTATTCCCCTCCCTCAGAGAGCTAACCTACTTTCACACTTCAGAAAGCAGGACTAAATTTTCTCAAAGTAGCTGGGAGTTACTACCACGTAACAGGTAAGCGCCATGGAATCCAGAACACAGAGAGAACAGTCGCATAGAGCACATTAACAACAGAAACATAAGATGATTCCTCCATGATTCCTCTCAAAAGGCCATAAGGTGTGTGCTTATGTCCCCAAATCTAAAATCATCATTGGCCTGATAGCTAAGCCCAAGAAATCTGAACAGGGTATATCATAATGTTTCTTTTAAGGGAAAACTACTGCTAGATGACTGGGAATCCTGTAAGTTTTTACACAACTGAGCTCTTCTGGAGGTCAGTTTTGTTCATCTCATTCGATTTTTAACTGCTTGGAACCATTACTGAACCACAGATGGGGGTGTCCAGGGAAGGCTCAAGCTGTAAGACAGAAATAAGAGCTGCTCCCTGAGCATCAAAGAGAGCTGGTCTGTCAATAATACAGGATGCTTCCCCAGGTAGAGTTGTAACTTTCCACAGACCTACCCTGGGGAGATCATTTCTCAATATTAGCTGGCCAGAAACTTCAAATAACAATCACTTTCTTCTATCCTTCCCAGTTAAACTTCTTGAAAAAGTAACCTAGATGCACTTCTTCAGCTCCTTGGCACTCTGGCTTCTATCCTTACATTTCAGTGAAAGTCTTCCTAAAAGTCCCTAATAATATCTGCATTACCAAATCCGACAGGTTCTTGAGGTGACTTCTCTAAAGCATACGAAAATGCTGACCATGCACTCCTTGGCTAAGACAACACACCATTCTCCTTTCACTTCCTCTACCCAATCTCCTTCATAATCACCTCTTCCTTTTTCCCTCCTCTAAATATCAAAGTGTCCAAAGGCTCGTCCTCAGAACCCAACTTCTTCATTCAATATCCTCTTTTGGCTACTCAATAAATGATAGTCTAGTCTATAATTCCACAAAGATACACTCAATATCCAACTGCACAGAGTGAATCCAACTCAGCAGACAGGCACCTCAAAGCAAACAGGACCAGAACAGAACAAAGTGCTTCCCTTCAATCTGTTATTCATCCTGTGTTCTCTGTCTTCACGGCATTTCCATCCCCCACTGGTTTGAAAACCAGTTACATGGGCACTATCCCGTACTCTCCTTCTCCCTTAGCCCCATCTCTGAGTTCCACAGAGTCCACCTCCTTAATTGCATCACCTGTACTTGATTCTCAGTGAGGCTGCCACTGCTTCAGCTTAATACATTTCCATTATTCATCTGGATTACAGAAGCCTAAATGATCTCTCTGCCTTGTTTGCTCCACCATCAATTCTTCCTCCAAAATGGCCAAAAGCCAAAGCAAAAACTAGACTTTGAAAGCACAAATGACTCCAACACAGTTTGGGGAGAAAACTGAAATTTCTGAGCTCACCAGACAAGGTCCTCCATTACCTGGCTTCAGCATCATCTCTTGCCATTCCCCCTCACTTGTTCTTCCTAAAACGCGTCATGGTGTTCGGCACTCCCTGCCTTTATGGAAGCTCCTCCACCAGTCTTGAACACCCACCCTTCATACCTTAGTTCTTAACCTGGTTCTTAACCCTGAATGCACATCAGACTCACCAAAGGAACTTAAACAAAAAAGCAAATAACGCGATACTGTTTATAAAATTTAGTTGCAATTTTTGTGTGTGTGAGGAAGATTGGCCCTGAGCTAACATCTGTGCCAATCCTCCTCTGTTTTGCAGGTGGGGTGAGGCCACAGTGTGGTTTGACAAGCGTCCCTGAGCTCAACCTGTGAACTTAACCACTCGGCCACCAGGCTGGCCCCTCAGCTGCAAATTTTAAAAAGAATCCCACCAGTGATTCTGAGAAGAGCCAGATCTGAGGACTCCCGTGGGGGGCAGTTCTGGGGGCTGGTCCGCCCCATCCTCTCCCGTCCGTCTCTGACGACCCTATCCTTCCAGGAGTTGCACGTTTCCACCACTGCAGCGCGGGCGGGGCTGAGCCCCGTGCTTACCCCCAACCCACCCTACCCATCCCACCCACCCGCTCCAGCCTCAGCGACTCCAAGTCTGTGCGGGCCAGGATCTGTGTACGAGGATCTGTCTATCTTTCACTCTCGTGCTTGGCACATATTAAGTGACTGAAAAAAGGTCTTAAACGTTTAACTAAAAAATTATTACCTGGGCTAACAACCTACAAGAGGAGATCTTCTCAGTCGAGATTCTTGGTCTTACTGGTAAACGTGTGAGGATTTGCATTCAGATATACCCAAACTGTGGCCCCAAAAGAACATTTCTGAAATGACAAAAAAAAAAAAAAAAGCAAGCGATGAAGCGGCGTTGACACTCTCTCATCCGAGTTTCACATCGATCCTCCGACAGCAGAGCCAGACGCCACCCTCCGATGAGAAAGCCCACCCTCCAGACAACTTGCCTGTGGACACGGAAGAAACGAAGAAACGGGCGACCGCGACTCAGACTCCACGGGAGCACTCTGTCCACAGGAGACTGTCCCCACTCGGGGGGCAGCGAGGCACTTCGTGTCAAAGCCCCCACACGAGCAAACGCAGCAAGTCCAGCCCCACGACGGCCGGTGACCAACTCCTCTCCCCACCAGCCCCGCGCCCGGGTCCCGCTGGGCCGCGCGGCGGGCCCGTCGTCGCCCCTGGAAGGCGGCGAGGGGGACAAAGGCCCTCTGGGGACAAGCGCCCTCTGAGACGGAGGGCACGGGCGGCAGGAAGGAGGGCGCGTCGGGCCGACCCGGGCTTGCTACAGCGAGACGCCCCTCTCACCCGCAAGGAAACTGCGCAGCGCCAGACCGAAAACAGCTCACGCGAGACCGCAGCGGAGACGACAGGAAGGGAGAGGGAGAGGGAGAGGGAGGGGCAGGGGCCCAGCCGCGGGCCCCGGGGCGCAGCAGGCGCCGAGCGCCGCCCGCCGGACGCCGCGACGCTCCAGCCGCAGCGGCCGAGCCCGCGCCGCCCCTCCCCCACGCGCCGGCCTCCCGCGCCCCGACGGTTACTCGACGCGGCCCCGCGCGACCCGCCGCGCGCGCGCTCACCCCCGCCGGGCCCGCGGCCTCCAGCCCGCCGCTCTTCTCACCCAGCTCGGCCTCGCGGCGGCCGCTACCCCACTTCCATGCCGCCGCTCCCCAGTCGGCCGACGGCGGAAGGGCAAGCCCACACCCGGCCACCCAACCCGCGGGCGCCGCGAGCCCAGGCCCCGCCCCCTGCGCGGCGTCGGCCGTCCGCAGGCCCCGCCCCAGCGCTGATTTCTTGTTTCGGTGCGCCGAGGGGCGGGGCGCGTGAACAGACGCACCCGGGCTCCGCCAGGAGGCCGAGACCCGCGCCTGGCGTCACTTCCGGGATGCCTGGCCTGGCCCGGCCAATCAGGAGCGTCCATGCGGGTTGGGGCAAAGTTTACCGCCAAGCCGTCAACGAGGCCACGCCCAGGACTTCCTGCGGGTGGGGCCCGTGGCCCACGCGCCCAGCCCGGGGAGCCTTAGGCGCCTACCCTCCGGCTTTTTCCGTTCCGTTCTCTTTCCTCCGCCGTCAACGCTTCAGGTGTCTCATCAGGGTATTACGGATTACGAAGGAATCGCTCTTTCGATTTCCTTTAAAGACCTAAAATGTAATAGGTAATCAACACGTAACTTGAGGAAACATACATACTTTGTATTACAGACAAGGGCTACATTAAGTATTTTAAAGAAAACAAACGATACGGAAAATAACAGTAAAACCCACTGGAAAGTCTACCCATTTTTTTTAAACCCTATTGCTGCCTAGGATGGTAAGGAATCACCACTAGCTTATACTCCAATAGAGGAGACAGAAAAACAAATAATTACTAATACTGATCAATACTGCGAAGGAAAGACGAGGCCGAGGTGGGCCCGATTCAGGCAGGGTGGGCGGCGGCGGTCTTAGCGCGAAGAACCCTAAGCGAAGAATGAGGGGGCGAGCCGAGGGGAACGGGACTGGACGGCGAGGGAACGTTCCAGCAAAGGGGCGTGGCTTCTCGCTGCCCCCACGTCCGTTAGCCGAATGTAACGGCCCAAGGCGTTACAGACGGCGCGCGAGGCGACAGCCGTTATACTCTTGATTTCTAGAGTTTTCTCTACCCCGTGGAGTTATTTCGGGCGTACTCAAGCGTTTAAATCGGAAAATTACAGAACTATTTCAAACTGTACTGCGTTATAAGTTGTGTGTGTGTGTAGCTTTTATCAAACAATATTTCTATGTAGTAACTTTTTAAAAATAAGGATCTGGATGGCTGTTGGGAAAAAATTGTTTTTAAAAAGCGGTAAACAAGATGGTAAAAATCACCTGAATTTGTTTCCCTCAGGTAACCTTTTTTGCGTAGATCCTTGCAGAATTTATTACATACATTTTGGTTAAAGTAGATATCAAAGGATAGCTATCAAATGCCAAGTTAGTCACCACAGGGTAAGAAACAGAATATTACTTTAATTAGACATCATAGCTTGCGCTAGGGACGCACAAAAATATTTTAATTTCTTACAGAATGAGAAAAAAAGTGAAAATTTAGGTTGGAGAAAATCTTTTAATATTTAACGTTAATATATTTATACCAACACAGTCATAAAATATAACTTTTGATACTTTTAAGGAAGAAAGTACCCGTGAATGCAAAAAGTTTAGGGGCCACTGAAATCTGAATTTCATCCTGCCTCTGAGCCTTCTGTGGGCCTTTCTGTTAATTTGTTTTTAAATCTGTATACAATAGATTAAGTTTTGCATGCTTTTAAACTTTATACTTATGAAATTATAGTGAATGCATTTTTCCATAAATTGCTTTTTACACTCAACATTACGTCGTGAGACTGATACTGGGAATGCTCAGTTGTAGAGCCAGAGCTCACACAATTTGAGGGGTTGATACTGACCCTGACATCAGTTTCCCCACATTAAACCAAGCGTATATGGGGTTAAAACCAAAACACTCAGTCCCTGCTTACTCTCTGGCTTCCTGGCTCCAGAATCCACTATCCTCCACGGAGACAGACCCCGCCAAGGACAAGCACCTGGACTATCTCCTCCCGCAAAGAGATACGGGCTGGTGGGAAAGCTGCTGACCAGCAAGGTCATGAGCTCCCTCCTCTCTACAAGTGTCTCAAGGCCAAAGACAGGCTGGTGGGAAAGGTCCGACCAGCAAGGCCATATGCTCCCCCTCCCCCACCTAAAACCCCAAATAAAAACCCTTCCTTTTAGCTTTTCGGGGAGTTTGGGATTTGAGCGTTAGCTGCCCTCTCTTCTTGCTCAGCGCTGTGCAAAAATAAAATTTCTACTTTCTTCCACCAAACCCGGCGTCAGAGATTGGCTTGCCGCGCAATGGGTGAGCAAACTCACTTCAGGTTCGGTAACAGGGTGTTCTCAAAAACACTGCAATAAAATTTATGATTACAAAATTAGGAATACAACGAATATGTATTTGGAGTAAATAGCACAAATTACAAGTTTTCAAAATGGGGAAACCCCACAAATATTTTTAAAATCCAGAAAATAGAAATATTTAAGCTGCAAACACGACTCTATAAAAGTTACATATATTGACTTCATACACTTTACCTCCACAATGAGGTTGAAGATCATTTCCTACACAGAGAACACAAAGATAGTTCAGCCTTTTCTCTAGCAAAGCTGATGAAAAATTTTTTAAAAACTTTTTGTTGAGATCATGATAGTTTACAGCCTCGTGAAATTTCAGTTGTACATTATTGTCAGTCGTGTTGTAGGTGCACTGCTTCACCCTTTGTGCCCACCCCCCACACCCCCGTTCCCCTGGTAACCACTAATCTGTTCTCTTTGTCCACATGTTTAACTCCACCTACGAGTGGAGTCATACAGAGATTGTCTTTCTCTATCTGGCTTATTTCACTTAACATAATACCCTCAAGGTCCATCCATGTTGTTGTGAATGGGACGATTTTATCCTTTTTTATGGCTGAGTAGTGTTCCATTGTATATGTACCACATCTTCTTTATCCAATCATCAGTTGATGGGCACTAGGTTGCTTCCACGTCTTGGCTATTGTAAATAATGCTGCGATGAACATAGGGGTGTGTGGGAATTTTGGAATGGCTGATTTCAAGTTCTTTGGATAGATACCCAGTCGTGGGATGGCTGGGTCATATGGTGTTTCTATTTTTAATTTTTTGAGAAATCTCCATACTGTTTTCCATAGTGGCTGCACCAGTTTGCATTCCCACCAGCAGTGTATGGGGGTAAAGCTGATGACATTTTATTAAGATTTTATAAAGTTTTTTTTCAAATTAATGATTTTGTTTGATAATGTCATGTAAACTTTTAGGACTGTCAAGGAAAATTTCTATCAAGCTTTTTTTCACATATGAGCTATAAGATTTCAAGCACAAAAAGTTTCTGGTGTAGTGATTGAACCTAAATGCTTAGGAGTGATGACACTTTATTACCAAGTTGTCATAGATGTTGTCATTTTTAGACACATACTGTGTTTTCTATGTCAATACTTTATGTCAAAATTTCCATCCTTTATCCCGTTTGATCATGTGACTCATTCCTCGTTATTATTTGGATTATCAACAATCCAAGAGCCTATTACTCATTACTTATATTTGAAATGGATCTTTTCTTAATGAATTACTGAATTTTTTGTTATGATAATTTCTATTGATTTCATCATCACTCATCTTCTCTTTTGCCTCATATTCCATTAATTTTTGCCAACTTTAGGAAATTTATATACAACAAAATGCACAGATTTTAAGTATATAGTTTGAGGAGTTTTAACAACTCCATAATTTTGTATACACATCTCCAATCAAGATATAAAACATTTTCTCCACCCCAGAAAGTGCCCCTGGGCTACACTTCCCAACACTCACCCAGTGGAACTGCTGCTCTGATTTCTATCACCATATCTATCACCATAGATTAGACTATTCTAGAACTCTTATCAATGGAATGATACATTAGGTAGTCTTTTGTCTGTCTTTTGTTCAACATGCAGTATGTGAGGATCATAGAAGCTGTTGCATGTATCGGCAATTCATTTTTAGTGTGGAGTAGAATATCATTCGATGAATATGCCACAATTTGTTTTTTTCAGTCATCTAATGATGCATATTGCGTGGTTTCAAGTTTTCTGCTATTATGAATAAAGCTGTTATGAACGTTACTGTAAAAGTCTTTTAATGGACATATGTTTTCATTTAACTTGGATAAATATCCAGGAGTGGAATTGCTGGATCACAGGATAGGTGTGTCCTTAATGCTCTGACAACTTACAATAAGTTTTTTTTTTTTTTTAAAGATTTTATTTTTTCCTTTTTCTCCCCAAAGCCCCCCGGTACATAGTTGTGTATTCTTCGTTGTGGGTTCCTCTAGTTGTGGCATGTGGGACGCTGCCTCAGCGTGGTCTGACGAGCAGTGCTATGTCCGCGCCCAGGATTCGAACCGACGAAACACTGGGCCGCCTGCAGCGGAGCGCGCGAACTTAACCACTCGGCCACGGGGCCAGCCCCACAATAAGTTTTCCAAAGTGATTTCACCATCGTAAATTCCCGTAAGCAAAGTGTAAGACTTCCATTTGCTCCACAACACTGTTGACACTTCTTATTGTGAATCTTTTAAATTTCAGTCATCTCGGTGAGTTAAAAGTGTACCTCATTTGTATTTCCCTGATAACTAATTATGTAGTACATCTTGTCACGTGCTTATTGGGAATTAGTATATCTTCCTTGCGAATTGTCTGCATGAGTCCTTTGACCATTTTTTTTAAAGGACTTAAGTTTTTGAGAGCATTTTTAGGTTCACAGCCAAATTGAAGGTATGCTCCCTGCTCCCACATATACATTGTCTCCTCCGTTATCAACTCCCCCACCAGAGAACGACGTTTGTTACAACTGACAAGCCTACATTGACATGTTGTTATCACCCAGAGTCCACAGGTCACATTAGGGTTCACTCTTTTTTTTTTTTGAGGAAGATTAGCCCTGAGCTAACAGCTGCTGCCAATCCTCCTCTTTTTGCTGAGGAAGACTGGCCCTGAGCTAACATCCATGCCCATCTTCCTCTACTTTATATGGGGGACGCCTACCACAGCATGGCGTGCCAAGCGGTACCATGTCCGCACACGGGATCTGAACCAGCAAACCCTGGGCCACCGAAGCGGAACGTGTGCACTTAAACACTGCACCACCAGGCCAGCCCCTAGGGTTCACTTTTGGTGTTGTACATCTATGGGTTTGGACAAATCTATAATGACATGTATCCATCATTATAATTTCATATGGAGTACTTTCACTGCTCTAAAAATCCTCTGTGCTCTGTCTGCCTATTCATCCCTCACCAATTTCACCCCTGGCAACCACTGGTCCTTTTACTGTCTCCATAGTTTTGCCTCTTCCAGAATGCCATATAATTGGAATCACACAGTATGCAGCCTTTTCAGATTGGCTTCTTTCACTCAGTAATATGGATTTAAGTTTCCTTAATGTCTTTTCATGGCTTGATAGCTCCTTTCTTTTTAGCATAGAATAATATTCCATTGTCTGGAGGTACCACAGTTTGTCCATTCACCTACTGAAGGACATCTTGGTTGCTTCCAAGTTTAAGCAATTATAAATAAAGCTGATATAAACATCCACGTGCAGTTTTTGTGTGCATATAAGTTTTCAGTTCATTTGGATAAACATCAAGGAACATAATTCCTGGGTCATATGGTAAGGGTATGTTTAGTTTTGTAAGAAACCACCAAACTGTCTTCCAAGGTGGCTGTACCATTTTGCATTCCCACCAGCAATAAATGAGAGTTCCTCTTGCTCCACATCCTCGTCAGCATTTGAGTTGTGAGTGTTCTGGATTTTGGTCAGTCTAATAGGTGTGTAACAGTTTTAATTTGCAGTCCTTTGAGGATGTATGATATGGAGTACTTTTTCATATAGTAATTTGCAATCTTTATATCTCCTAGGTAAGGTATCTGTTAAGGTCTTTTGCC